AAACTAACATGAAACTGTAGTTGCAACCCATTTTAAATTCTGTAATGAGACATATTTCAAAGTTAACAAATTATGCATTAGTTAAAAAGGCTCTAAGTGGATTGTGAACACAAACATTTTGCACTGTTGAATCATTCACAATAACAAAGAAGAAATATCAGCCAATGGGATCAGAAAAATCTACTTAATTTAAAAAACAAGTTTATATTTCTGCCCTCTATTGGCAGATATTTGTTCTTGTTTTAAGTGTAAACTTAAGTCATGTTTAAGAAAGCAAGACTTAATATCGTCATTTTGCTTCTCCAATAAATGTAAAGAATGTTCAGATATTTGTGTTGGAAAACAAGATAAAAAATACTGAGGAAGAACATCATCAAAAAAAAAAATATATATTTTACATTTTTCAGTATTTCTCAGTATTTTTTTATCTTGTTTTCCATATTCCATTTTTTGTGTAAATTCTCTTGAATGATTTCTAGATATTATAAGATTAATCACGTGTTTTATTCCTCATTTGTAAGTCGATTTAGACTCTGTGGCGAATGCTTTCTGTTCCTCTATTGTCGCTTTGGGTATTTTGTTAAATGCATACATTCAAATGTAAAATGTAAAGATTCAGTGTGAATGCATTTGTAAGTTTATTTAATTTATTTATTTAATAGTGACCATACAGTCACAACTGATGCGCAGCCTATAGAGTTTGTGCTACTTTTCAACTCCTGTCCCTGGTTGGGCATTTCTATGAACATTATAAACAGATACAAATAAAAACATTCACATTTTCAACCAGAAAAAATAGCAATAGTTAAAAATGGTTTATCCTTATAATCCTTTAGGTGAGTGTATGTGAAAAGACCATAGCATGCATGTGTTAGCATAGCTAAATTCATGTTTATACTGAATCGTTGCTGTGCTTTACGGTGCTGCAGCTTCGGCCTCATTCATTGCCGACTGAAAAGTCCAAAAGTTGCATTGCATGAGAAATCGAGGGCAAGCGTATCTCCACAAGCGTGCACAGATCCATCTGGGCCTTTCCTATGATTCGAGATAACCTAATCCTAATCTCACACACTGTCCAGAACAGATAGTCATGAACAGAGACGAAACATTAATGTTGTTTTTTTTAAAGACCTCAGAAGTGAGTTTCAGAAAACTATTCCTACTGTGTCCTTTACCTCTTTGTAAACGTACTAGTCCTGTAAAGTCTAAACATTGTTTATTTGAAGAGTTCAGATGCAAAAGCCTCTAAGTGCCAGTTGAAATTTTCTTCTAGAATGATTTTTATTAAGCGTGTATATTTAAGTTCAGTAATTTCACTTAAATGACAATTAATAGGTAATCTTCATTGCCATTTAAGTGAAATTACTGAACTTAAATATACAAGCTTGATAAAAATGATCATTCTAGAAGAAAATTTCAAATGGCACTTAGAGGCTTTTGCATCTGAACTCTTCATTTATTGTCTTCTCTGAGATCTAACTTGCTATGTGTAATTGTTATTTACTTTCCCTTTTATCTGTGCTATTCTGTTTTTTATTTATTTTTTATTTACTATTATTATTATTTAATTTATTTATCATTTTTATTATTGTTTTTTTTTTTGCATTAAAGGGATAAAGGGGAGAGAGAAAAAAAGGAACTAAAATGTCATTGTTAACACTGATGTTCACTGATGCTTTTGACTGATGTTCATGTTCAATAAAGTTTCAGAAAGATATATTTCAGAAGTGTCTCAAACAAAGCTCAGATTATAATATTTAAGTCAGAGAAACTCAATATTTACTTTCACATTTATGCACTTCGCAGGCAACTTAGAAAAGAGAAACAAAAGCAAGTTGTCAAAAGAGCCAATGCCAGGTTTATGAACTCAAATGATCTGTTTGTTTTATACTCTTAAAAGGGATTTCCAAGCTTGTTTTGTGTGCGGAGCCTATTTGAAGTAAACTGCAGGACGTGATCGAGAATAAATCGAGTTATTAAAACTGCATAAATTGAACTTTATGCTTCAGTCAAACGGTTAAATATGTAAAAATGCCTTGTTTGGAGTATTCACTCAGTCAGTTATGTCGTAAGTGAACATAAACAGTTGGGAAATAAATGGCATGTGTATCAGTGTGAGATCAGTGCATTAGCTCTTAAAGTGACAGCGTCCTAATTAGGGTTGGGTATCGTTTGAATTTGAATGATTCTGATTCCGATTCCGATTCCTTGTTTCGATTCCGGTTCCTAACGATTCTCGATTTCGATTCTTTTAAGAGGCAGGGTCAAAAAAGTTTAGCTAACCTTGCTAACCAACGGTCTTTCTGAAGGAAATACTCCTACTGTCACAAATACTAGTCACAAATTTTGCATTTTGCCGAGATTTCGTTAATTTTTAGAAAAGTGAAGCCACACTTTGGACCGCCGACATAAGCTACTCATGTTCGACTCGCGCGGTTATGCCAACACTTCCGGTAGACGCTTCTTCGTTGGTGTTGTTCAGCGGTTTCTTCTTCCGCTCGACGGACTGTGAATATCGAAACTAGGAATTGAAATTTTAACTTTTGAACGATTCCGGGAAAAACAAAAAGTTAGTCCCGGTTCCAATCGATACTCGATTCTCGATACCCAACCCTAGTCCTAATAAACCTGAGGCAACAAAAAAACTTTTTAGTCAATTTAGTAGGATTAATCTACAGTATATTTAATTTATACAGTGCACACTATTCAGGGTTGTTTTACATTTGATAGTTTCTGTTGATAAAGACTCTTGTTCTGCTTTTTAGGCCAGGAATTATATTCCTCGCTGCACTGTAAAAAAAAATAATTTCAAGATTTGTTATCACAACATTTTTTTCTTTTGTCAAATCAACTTAAATAATTTATTTAGTTCAGATAACTTATTATTTTGAGTTTCTGATGATTAAATCAATCTCCTTCATTGTATTAACTCACTTTTTCCAGTTCAATTAATTTAAAATTTTAAGGCAACGATCTTTTTTACTTACTTAGGTTATTTTTATTAGGTTTACGTTACTTACTTTTTTAAGTTAAACCAACAATATTTTTTACAGTGTATAGATTTTTTTTTTTTAATCATGTATTATTATTTATTTATGGTGAGCATTGGCCGATACCGCTTCCAGTGATCGGGCCTAAAAAATCCTGATCGGATCACCCTTCATTTTGATCATTTTAATTTATTAACTTTTCAACCAATGTCATTTCTTTACAAAAATGACAAAATATTAGAATAGAAAAAATGTTTAAATCCCCCTTTGGTGTAAATCTAGCTTTTAATGTTGTTTATGTGCCTATGTGGTGTTTTTAATGTGAGCGGAGGCGGGGCTCATTTGCATATTCATAGAACCGCGCATACTAAATGAGGAGAAATATTCAAGCTATTTTAAGGCATCAAGATTTTTTTTTTCAGGGAAAAATCATTTAACTCATTTTGGTGATCAAAGATGAGTTTCAAGGGATACAATTATTAACTACAGGGGGACTTTAAACCTTCACAGGAACTTCGGAGATAAACGGGATTATTAAGTGGAAGATAATTACGTCTCCCGAGCTGTTTAAGAGCAACCTGTGAGCGATCATGGAAGTCTCACACTCCCTGCTAAAGCATCAGGGTGTCGGACGCGCCAGCGTTTAACACAAGGTTATTTCTACACGAGGTTTGCGCAATTAGACGGAGCGTCTGAGGGATTAACGGATGGAGAGAGTGGCGGGAGCGTCAACCCTCCGGCAGTTATTGCTCTTTAACACGAGCGCTTCAGATTGATGCTCTGTGAGAGGGATACAGTAGTGCAACAATTATTAAAGCGGCTGCAATTAAACTGACAATTTGTAATGCAAATGGTCTTAGCTTTTGCCCCCATTCGGCGCTGGATAATCAGACGACTCATGAGCGGCGGAAACCCGCTCTCAGGCCTCTCGTTGCTCCTACAAACTCTCTTCACTTGCTCATTAGCATTAATTTCTTCATTTCCCCTAAAGAGATATCACTATTACTGAGTGTTATTTTAGTATCTATACTTAAAAAGTTCATTTATTTCAGTATTTCAACTTAATATATTATATGGACTCATTACATGCAGAGCCGAGATGAGGAGATTTTTTACGTCTAATATTTATGCTATTTTATTTCAGTTATGAAAATTATTTTAAACAATAAAAACGTCTAGTTCTACACTTCAATAAATAGAGAGTGCATCACTGGTTAGTCGTCGACTCGTAAAATTAACATGTTACTAGCATTTTTAATCACGATGCTAGCATGAATTAGCATGTGGCGAGCATGCTTTAACACATTGCTGACTTGGATTAGCATGTTTTAGCATTTTGTTACTAGCATGAATTATCATGTTTCTAGCATGAAAAATGCTAACGTCGCATCACTGACTCTCTCTCTCTGTGCGCTTTTTGCCTCTCCTGCGTTTAAAATTGTTTGAATGTGTAAATTGGCGAGACAAAACACGTCCAAATTATAAACTTTCACTCTATGATGATTAAATTTTGCAGTTAATCTGCGAATCACATGCGTGCCGAACCGCGGGACCTGATTCGCACGGGTCACGGATCAACTGCGATCCGTTCCACCGCTAGCTAACATGTTAAACCGTTATCAACATTTTAAATTATGCTAGCAACATGCTAACAGCATGCTAAATATAACAAAATGCTAAAACATGCTGGCAACATGCTAATTCACGTTAGCAATGTGCTAAAACATGCTTGCCACATGCTAATTCATGCTAGCAGCGTGATAAAAAATGTTAGCAACATGTTAATTCACGCTAACAATGTGCTAAAACGTGCTAGCAACATGATAATTCACGTTAGCAGCATGTCAGAACATTAGCAACATGCAAATTCATGCTAGCAACCTGTTACAACATGTTAGCAATGTGTTTTTTCCCTCTTTAACAGTTCCAAAAATAACCAGTGACTAACAACCACATATGCTTGTATTCTAAAAACAAAACAAATGAGTATAAAATAAACCTATTTTTCAGAACATCCTGCTGTACTCGGACTTCCAGGACTCGACCTTTGACCTGAGCCAGCTGCCGACCCATCGCTTTGAGGCCATGGATCATTTCAGCAAGTGTTTCCTGATAGTGAAGCTGAAGAGAGAGCAGGAGAGCGGCGAGCGAGAGGCGAGTCGGGACTGGAGAGCGGTGCGCGTGGATCTGGTGGCTCCGCCGCTCGAGCGCTATGCCTACGCCCTGCTGGGCTGGACCGGCTCCACGGTATGAGCACCACTACACATGAGCGCTCTGATTGGACTAAATGAACCTCAGTGGCTCCAGTTCATCAAGCGAGAATGCTTGAGCTTTCGTTTAGCAAATTTGAGTGCTATATGTGCTTATATGTGAATAAAAGCCTAAATGAAATCTGTTCGATTGTGTCTCTTCAGAAGTGTTGGATTAAACCACTCAAAATCATTTGAATTATCCTTTTACCAACTTTTAATATGGGGACAGAAATCTCAGATTTCATTCAAAAATCTTAATTTGTCTTCATTTTTGGCCGAACACAATCCCTTAAAATATTAAATAATGCTAGCAACATGCTAATTCATGTTAGCAATGTGTACAAACATGTTAGCAAAATGCTAATTCGTGTTAGAAATGTTCAAACATGCTAGCAACATGCTAATTCATGTTAGCAATGTGTTCAAACATGCTAGAAAAATGCTAATTTGTGTTAGAAATGTTCAAACATGCTAGCAAAATGCTAATTCATGTTAGCAGTGTGTTCAAACGTGCTAGCAAAATGCTAATTCATGTTAGCAGTGTGTTCAAACGTGCTAGCAAAATGCTAATTCATGTTAGCAGTGTGTTCAAACGTGCTAGCAAAATGCTAATTCATGTTAGCAATGTGTTTAAAATGCTAGAAACATGTTAAATGATGTTAGCAAAACATGCTAATTCATAGCAATGTATTAAAAATGCTATATGTGCTAAAACTTTTTTCTTTTTTCTTTAATATCACTAGAGGTAAAGAGAAACACAAGTAGCTTTTATATTCTTATATATTTTCACACAAATGCAAAAACAACATGCATTTAACAACATAAGATTTAACATAATTGCATATTTACGTAAATTAAAGATTTCTGAAAAAAACATGGCATAATTTATTGTCAAATTTGCATCGATTTGGATTTTATTCAAATAATCCTATTTTCAAAAAGCATTTATTTGAATTACATAAAGCTTATTAGTTTGTTAGGTAACACTTTACAATAAGTTTCATTAAGTTAACTACTTTAGTTAACACAAACTAATAAAGAACAATACTTCTACAACATCTTAGTCCATATTAATTTCAATATTTACTAATACGTAATTAAAATCAAAGTGCTAATTCGTGTTAGCAATGTGTTCAAACATGCTAGCAAAATGCTAATTTGTGTTAGAAATGTGTTTAAAATGCTAGAAACATGTTAAATAATGTTAGCAAAACATGCTAATTCATAGCAATGTATTAAAACATGCTATATGTGCTAAAACCTTTTAAAGAGAAACACAAGTAGCTTTTATATTCTAATATATTTACACAAAAGCAAAACAACATGCATTTAACAACATAAGATTTAACATATTTGCATATTTACGTAAATTAAAGATTTCTGCACTCAAAAAAAACATGGCATAAATAATAATTAACAATTTGCATCTATTTGGATTTTATTCAAATAATCCTATTTTCAAAAAGCATTTATTTGACTTGCGTCATTTATGCACGCATCACATAAAGCTTATTAGTTTGTTAGGTAACACTTTACAATAAGGTTCATTAAGTTAACTACTTTAGTTAACACAAACTAATAATGAACAATACTTCTACAGCATCTTAGTCAATATTAATTAATTTACTAATACGTTATTAAAATCAAAGGTTGAGTTTGTTGGCATTAGCTAATGCACTGTAAACTAACATGAACAAACAATGACAACTGTATTTTTATTAACTATCAGCGACAAAGATGAATAAATAGCAACAAATGTTTTGTTAATTTTTAGTGCATGTAAGTTAACACATTAACTAATGTTTGGGAATGAACCTTATTGAAAAGTGTGTTAAAATGCATGAAAATTTTACATGCAATTCAATACATAAATCTTACATTTAAACCAAATATAGTATCTATTGTGTCCCTAAACGTCCCACAAGCGCAGAGGAGAGACTTTGGGGCGTCCAGAGACAGATGCAGTTTGACTCGAGCTGTTTATAGACGAACCCTGACCTTGAGCTTCAGGTCCATGTGGACGCTCGACCCATCATCTGTAATTACAGTCTCCCGCTCGCTGCTCCTGGGGTTTGCTATCCCATGATGCATCGGTAACCCACGGCGTGTGTAGCATCAGCGCAGCGTCACTGTGATGAAGATGGAGAACGAGAGGACGTTAGTTTCTGAGGCAGATCATTATCCCAACCCAGGGTTTGAAATCAACTTTTGTTTACTCATTATCAATTATATATGCAAATATGTTAAATCATATGTTGTTAAATGCATATTGCTACAATTTGGCTTCTAAATTTAAAGTTACCGGCCATTCAGCACGTCTATGAGCCAAAAATAAGAAAAAAGATAAGAATTTAACCGTATTAAATACGTCATAGCTTGGTAAAACCAAAATTTTATAATATATATAATGTGTATATATATATCGTTAAACTTAAATAACAGGTCTACACTGTAAAAAAAAAATGTGTTCAATTTACAGTAAAATACCGGCAGCTGTGGTTGGCAGAAATTTACCGTATAAAATACGGTAGCAAGAATTAACGGTAATAAGATTTTACAGACTTAACTTAAAATTTACGGAAATAAACCGTATTTAATGATCTGATATACTGTTAAATTATCGACCAATTTAAGTGTTAATTTAAGTTAAATACGTCATAGCTTGGTAAAAACCAAAATTTTATAATATATACAATGTGTATATATATATATATATATATATATCGTTAAACTTAAATAACAGGTCTAGATCTCCATCTCTTTACCACATTACAACAACAAAAGCACTTGAACGCACCAGTTCACAAGTGGAAAATATCATATTGACACATGAACGCACCATTAGGCTCTCTATTGACGGCTGTTCGTTTCAAACTCTGAAAACAGAAAACTTTAAAACTCATTTATCCATTCCCTCTGTGTCCAGATGGTTCATGGCGTCCAATAGTGGAGTTTATTTCAAGCCCAAAAAGACCTTGAGGATCTTAAGATTGTGATAAAACTAGCTACTGTATGTTTGAAGAGCTAAATAGAGAAGCGTTTAAATAAGTCTGGCCATGATAAGAGTCTCTAAAGACATTCATGATGCGTAATACCATAAACAACTAAATCAATATACTGTAGTGTGTTTTAAATCTCATTTAACTGTGTGCTTTATTCACTCCAGGGAAGAAATAAACTCTGTGATATTGCTTAGCTGCAGTTTATTCCTTAGATTATTCTGTTTGTGATATGAAAATATTATCTGTGTATTTGATCAGAGGATATTATAATGCACAATAGGATTTACACAAATAGCACATTATTACTGGATCAACATTCATGTGCTCTATTTAATCTCGTTGCGCTTTACAAAAATCATTTTAAAGAGATTTTAAAGAGATTTTTCTATTTTTCTCACTATGTTTTTTTTTTTATATATTATGATTAAAGACTAAACCCGAAAGAGTCTATATTGTGCAAAGAAAAGCGATTACTTCAAACATAGCCATATCTATATACACACCCACCAACACACACACACACATACAAACACACTTTTATACACGTACAATAAATTTTGATTACAAAAAGTATGTTTTGAATTTTTAAAAATCACAGCTTCATCGCAATGTTACGAAACTTGGTGACTTTTATGACATTATGTATGTGAACACACAAAAAAATTGAGGTCATGATCTGAGCATGCTAAGTGATCTTAAAAAAATAGTCACACTTGTGGTCTTTGGTCAAAAAATAAGAAATGAATGGGAAATTGAAAAAAAATGAAAAAAATTGGTAATTTTTGTTTTTTGTCAATTTTTTTAATAATAAATCGTTTTTGAGATTGTTTCAACTATATATTCAAATCCACCACCAACAACGAAAAAAAAATGTGTTCATAAACATCTGGGGAATTCACATGCTTCTCCATAGAGAGCTGTACATGCCATCTAGTGGTTACACCATGATTCTACGCTTTTCTCTATACTGTAACCAGATGGTGCTAATTTTCTTCAAAAAAAAAAAAAAAAAAAGACTATATTAAACTAAAATACTGCATTAACATTTAAAAAAAAAAATTATATATATATATATATATATAGAAAAATATATTTTTCCATGGCAAAAATAGACCATAAATATTGCATAAATATTAATAAGTTCAATTAAATTGTCTCAAAATACTAAATTAAAAAGAATAAATATTATAGAATAAAAATAAATTGCATTGGTTTTACTGGGATGGAGAAAGTTTCATTTTTAGGTGTCCGGTCACTTTTGACCGGGAAGATAACAAGTGTGACTCCGAAAGGGTTAATGTATTTCGCATATTTAGTAAGTAAACCTGTTGAGTCAGCTTTGAGTCTGGGTCTTTATCTGTTTCTCTTCTTCTCCAGCTGTTTGAACGAGACCTGAGGCGATTCGCCAGACTGGAGCGAGGAAAACTGCTGGACAATCACGCGCTGTACGACAAAGCGACGGTACGACACACACACACACATGTATTTAAATTGAATTGGCAAAACATACAGGAATTTGAATTGGAATGTAAATAGATCTATTTATGTGTTGATCTGTGAGGCCAGTGAACTTGCAATGGAATTGAATAAAAGTGTGTGTGTGTGTGTGTGTGTGTGAGAGAGAGAGAGAGTGTGTGAGGTGTTTGTTTCACATGATTGCATCCATTAGACACATCAGAAAATCTTCAGGCATGTTGCCGTGACAACTGCATAGCAACACCCTGGCAACCATTGGAGTGCATTGTGCTTTCTGCATGGGAAACGCATCATATTTTATTATTATATCTTTTATATATTTTGTTAAAAGGCTGAAAGTCTGGTTATTTCTTGAACTCCATTAGGTGCGTGTTACACTTTTCACCTTTTAGTTGAAATATAAATATGACGAGCAGACAGTTTATCTTGACATATATGAATATTTAGAGCCAATTATTGCAAATCCCAAATGTGCTCAAAGGTTATAAAGCGAGTTTGACCTCATTCAGAAATGCACAAATGTGGCATGATGGGGTTTTAATTGAATTTGTCGTTTATGTGATATGAATCAGTCCTGATTGTCTTCCAAATGTTGAACATTAGAGTCGCATGTTAAATAGTTGCTGATAATTTCATCAGGTCTGGCTTTTAGCGTGGGATTATTTGTGCGTTTTTGAGTGCTTTTGTTATTGTGTTCTGGTAAAATTACTTCTCAGCACAGCGATTTCATCCATTAGCACATTTACACACACATCATGCACTTTAATGGGAAACACAATTTCAGACTGGCCACAAAAAAAAAAAAAAAAAAAAAAAAAAACTGATTGAAAAATTATTTTCAACAGAGGTGCAAATTAACTGTCGGGCTTAAAAATATATTGCTTTTTCACGACAATAACTAATCAAACGTGAGCCGGCAGGCGTCGGGCTCTGGCTTAGTTATGGCACTCGCCTCATATTAGCATGAATTGATTTTACTACAATTTTTCCATAACGCAGCAATCCGTCAAAGTCGGCTCACGACGTTCTGACAGACAATCAGACCGGACTCTCCCGAGGATTTCCCAGCGTTAATGTAATGTGTCCTGTCTCTGGTCGCGCCGGAGAGACGCTCCGATCAATCAAGCTCCGGCTCGGATGCGGCCAGAGTGATAAATGCCGGAGTGTGTCGCGGTTGTCGTCTCTCTCTCAAATTATTACTGTCCTTCTGTCTTTTCTGCTTGACGCTCGACATATTCTTGTTTGCATTTCAGATCAAATTGTACATTAGAAAAATACACGTTTCCTCTGAACCAAACACAAATACGGGAAAGAAAATACAGCGTCACTTACTATAAATGACTGAATGTCAAAGCAGGTGAAACTCGAAAATCATGAATATGGTGCAAAAGTTCAGTAATTCAACTTAAAAGGTGAAACTAATACATTATATAGACTCATTACATGCAAAGTGAGATATTTCAAGCCTTTATTTGTTATTATAATTTTGATGATTATGGCTTACAGATATGAAAACCTTTTCACAATATTCATAATCATCAAAATTATAACAAATAAAGGCTTGAAATATCTCACTTTGCATGTAATGAGTCTATATAATATATTAGTTTTAAGTTGAATTACTGAACTTTTGCACGATATTATAATTTTTTTGTGTTTCACCTGTATATGAATGTATATTTATTGTTAAAAAAAGAAGCACAAACACACTTTAAGTTTGGTAGGACTGTCGCTTAATGTGAATGTCCGTCCGTCTCTTATGTCCGCAACTTTTCTTCATCTGGTGTTTTAGTGTTTTTTTGGTGGATGTGTAAAGACAGGTCCCACAATATATACAAATACATAAATGCTGCTTTTTAAATCTTTTTATTCATCAAAGAAGCCTAAAAAAACTATAAATATAATGTATCCCAGTTTCCCAAAATATGAACTGTTTTCAACATTGATAATAATCATGAATGTTTCTTGAGCATTGTAACAGTGGTGGGTGGTGCCCTAATCTTAAATTAATTATTTCACAAAGAAAGTTCGGGCGCCAGACAGTTTTATAAAACTGACAAAACTTAAACAACCCAAGATAGAAAAGAAAACCACTGATTACACACAAAAACAAATATCAAAGGTGTAAGTTTAACAGTAATTTATTACAACATCAGAAGTTACTGATTTTGAAAGCAAAATAAATCAATTAGTCAGCAAGAATAGGTATTCTCAACATTAGAGTTCATTATCAGTTCTCACATGATTACAAAACAATAGAACAACGGGGTTGACACTCAATTTGGTCGTCCACACAGGCAGTTTCGAGTGTCGATAGTCCCGCCAAACTTATAAAGAAAAGGGAAAACAAAGAAAGAAAAGAGCAAAACACATATTGGAATCACATATACCAACGAAAGCACAGATTCAAATTCACAATTAAAAAGCATAGATATTCAGTAACAAAATATGCGGATATGAATGGAATGCGTGTGTGTGTGAACGTGTAGTTTAGGACTGAGCGTAGAACACACTGACCAGTTTTGGCAGACGGAATCAGACAGAAATCGCATCAGGCGAGCGGGAGGTCTTCGTCAGGCTCCCGGAGGGAAGCTAACCCGTTGTTTGGGTGAACAGTTCACTTAAAACCGCCGGTCTTTGAGGTGCGTCGTATTGGAAGTCTCCAGACTCCACGTCGCAACAGGCAGCATGAGAAGGAAGCCTCGGTTCACCCATCACAGGACAAAGTCCATTCTACATCGGTAGTCGCTAACTCCACTCACAGGTCAAACCAACATACCTCGGTGACGTGTCCTCTTTCCCCTTTGTTAAATATACCTTTCCTTCATTTCCCTTTCCGCCGTTAATTAGCCTCAATTAGTCACTCCGCCCTTTCCGTTCAAAGTGAAAGTGAAAGTAAAGCCGTATAACTTACTGCACTGTCACAGCATCAGATCCTCATATTAGAGTGATTTCTGAAGGATCATGTGACACTGACTGGAGATATATTCATATTCACAAAGAAAACAGTTTTACATTGGTTTTTGCTGGTTTTACTGTATTTTTGATTAAATAAGGAAAGCCAAAACCTTTGAATATAAGATTTGTACTTTTTAATGAATTAAAATAGCATCTTTTTGTCAGTGGCTGGATATGCTTATTTGGTTGTATTTTATTCAGGATGAGAGATGGAGAAACACACAATAAGACTGATATCTTTTACAATCAGCATGAAATCCAAAAGGACCGTTTAATGTTCTTAATGCATATTTCTGGTTTTATTTTGAGTGATTCGTCATGATGGTGTCTGTGATGGTTCGTTAAAGTGAAGATCTGACGTTCATCCTGATATTTTATAGCCATTTTCATAATCCAATCAATTCCTAATGGATAAAACCAAATCCTACCCTATCCTTTTTCTGTAATTCTGTTCATTAGTGAACATATTTAACTAACATGAACATTACTGTGTTTATTATATATATATATAACATTTCAGCTGTTCATTGTTTGTTCATGTTAGTTCACAGTGCATTAACTAATGTTAACAAACACAACCTTTGATTTTAATAACGTATTAGTACATATTGAAAGTAATATTGACTAAGCTCTTAGTTCTTAGCTCATGTTAACTATGAACCTTATTTACCAGTCTTGGAAATGCATCAGATTATTGAAGTTAAATGTTTTTCAAATTGGTTAAACAGTTTTGTTATTTCTGTTTTGCTTGACGAGTGTGTTTGTGCAGTCAATTCGATTGCAATGACATTCATATAGTCTTCCGTTTGACTTAAGCACATTTGTATGCACCGCTGTAAACGACACACGGCTCCAGCGAAAGGTTGTAATGTGATGGACAGCGTGAAACATGCGCTTCCTCGTCTCTGAACCCAGTGTCTGCCCTTTTGATTCATTTGCATGATCTTGTCAAAATCCCACTTCACAAGAGACGGGACAGACCCGTCCTGCCACTCTCGGTGTCGATATCTGACACGTCTGCGACACAAACCACAGTTTGAAGAGTGGAGGCCAGAGAGCATGTGGGTGTTTGGAGAATCTGCTTTTTGTGGAGTATCATCATTTTTATACAGAGACCCAAACTGAGCAAAAATACTGTATGCAAATGAATGCAACTGCTGATATCATTATTTAGATAAAGTTCAACTTCAAAAGAAAAGGCAAAAAAGAAAAACAATTTACGAACGTATACATACAAATTAAACTGCGATGTTAACAATAGCAAAAAAGCTTATGCTTATTGCGCCGATTCTTTTTACGTTTTATTTATTTAACACACAACGCAAAGTCATCTTCCGTACATAAATAATGACTAAAATGTAATTCTGATCGCTTGTGATGTTAGCCAATGAGTGCGTTTGCATGCACTTTCTTAAAACCACAGTTTCTTATAATCGGTATGACAATTTTTTTAATACTTTTAACAAATTTCCTACACTCTAAAAAATGCTGGGTTGTTTCAACCCAATTTTGGGTAAAATATGGACATACCCAGCCATTGGGTTAATTTTTTTAATTACATTTTTAACCCAACATTTGGGTTTGTCCATATTTTACCCAAAATTGGGTTGAAACAACCCAGCATTTTTTAGAGTGTAAACTCTTAACGCACCCACACACCTACACTCTTAGAAGAAATGGTTCTATTTAGAACCAGAAATGGTTCCATCCCCCGCTTCATATATGGAACTCCAAAATGGTTCTATATAGAACCATTTTTTTTGGTAAAAGGTTCTATTGGCCATGTATGGATTCTATATAGAACCCAGGGGAACCCTTTTTTTAAGAGTGTATAGAACCTTTTAGGGGTTCCAAATACGTAGCGCTGATTCTATATAGAACCTTTTCTTCTAAGAGTGTAAAACACACTATTGGCAAAACGACTAATTTCATGCTCAAATTCACACTCTGTAAACTAAACTCCAACACTAATTTTCAAAAAGCAATAATACGCAATAGACTACGTCTAGACACTATACACTATCAGAGACATTTAGTCAATCACAGCACAATGTCATAAAAACACTAACATGAGGAATTACAGAAACCGCATTATTTTATATATTCAGTGTGTCAGGTCTGCCCGTATACAGTAGACGGTATATTGTATTGTTTATAGATTGTTTGACACTGCAGTTTCTTCTGAAGCCTCTCTGCTTTTCTTTGGGTGCTATAGAAATTCAATACGAAA